ATCTGCTGTGTGAGAAACCCAGCCAAAGGGTTTGAGCTGAGCCTCTTTATGGGGTAGGATAAGAGATATGATTTGGCAGCAGATTGATGATAATTTCTAAGGCACTGGGAGGCCACTCAAAGTAAAAATGAATGGTTTCTTACACTTTCCTGATACTAGACACTACTGAGGTCTGTGTCAGTAAAGCACATGCAGGTCAGGCTTAGGAAGAGTTGTCAGTGGACAGCCAAAATTGCTGGCCAGACTGAAGTGGAAGGCAGTATGCAATGTCTGCCAGACTGCACTGACACATAGTTAAGTACCTATAGTTATATTACTTTTCGGGGGCACTTTATAGAGGTATTTTCTAGCATGAAAGAATCAAACAAGTGAGCCCAGCCCTGGATCAGCAAACTGCAGCACTAGGCAGACATCAGCTGACTTTTCTTCTTGGGAAGGTCAATGCTGCCCCAAGATAAGAATATCCTTCCAGAAGGGAGCCATGTCTCAGTGTGTGAAATGTCAAAAGTAAGATCATTAAATGTAATGATGAATTATAAACTGCTGAATAACATGACAACACATGAGTCCATGGCAATAAATATCTAATAATGATTACAGCTAAATGGAGCAAAAGAATAGCCTTTTTGTAGGTTAATATGCAGAAAATCAATTTGTATTGTGGAGATACAGTGGCAGTTGAAAAACTTCGATTTTATTACCACAGAAGTAAAATGGAATAGACTCAAAAAACTAAAGAATGCTAAATCCAGAAGGAAAAATTCTATGCAGAGCAGGATATGTGCAAGTTTATAAAATGACTTTCCAGAGATTGCTTATTAACTGTAAGGGAAAATAGAAATAATCATTATAGTGGAAAATTAGACAGAATTAATTGCATTTCCAGGCTTAATTTCATCAGTGAGAGACAAGGGTGTTGTGCACCCTGGGATTTGATATCCAGGGAACACACTCACATATGTATTAAAAAGTATTATAAAATTCCTCTAAAACTAATCATGAAGAATAATCAGACAAACTCCAAATGAACAGCATTCTAATCAAAAGGGATCTATGGAAGTTATATTCTCCAAAATTATCAGTAACCTAAAGAATGAGAAAATTATCAATGACCTCAGAGAATGTTTCTCATACAATTCTAAAGAGACAGAACGACTAAATAAAACAGCTGATCTTAATCTTACTCCTGTACTGGAGGGATAAAAAGTCTCTGAAAGGACATTTTTTTTTCATCTGTGAGCAAAGTTGAAATGGGAGTATTTATTATGATAAAATATTATAGCAATACTAAGCTTAAAGAAACTGAGAGTTACTCTCTGTGCTTATGGAAAAGTAAAACATTTTTAGAGAAAAAATACCATACTACTTAGAAAAGAATGCAGCACATTAAACTTCCCTTCAAATGATTCATAAGAGAGGGAAAGAGGAAGGAGATTAACAAATGATAAAGCTGTTAGGTAAAATGTTAATGAGAGCTCTACCTGAATCAGAGTTAAGCATGTACGGTGGTGCTTCACGCTATTTTCATTTCTAAGCCTTTTGAGTAAATTTGAAATTATTTCCAAATAAAAAATTTACAAAAGATTATCTAGTATATATTAGTTTTGAAAATAAGTTAGATATAATACAACATATTTATTTTATTCCCAGTTGGCATAAAAATAAACATAAAAACACATATGATTACTAATATGTATCAGAATAGGTGAAAAGATATGTACTATGCCAAGTAAAAGATTTTGGCATTTGCTTCCAGGTCAAGCACTACATATCTGGGAAGGAGAAGAATCTACGTTTCACTAGAAAAATCTTTTAATTAAAATAACATGTAAAAAGTGAGACAAAAGATACTTCACTCAATTTATTATTTCTGTATATTTGCTTGTACTCTAGAGATAGGAATTACAAACTCTATTTTGAACTTTTGCCTTCAATGACCGTGTGTTATTCAGCTTTCTATGGCTATGACAAAGCATCCACAAAAGGGCTTAGTCCTTGGTCTCTTGGTTCTGTTGCTTCTGATCCATAGTGAGGCCAAACATCTTGGTGAGGAGCATCTGATGGCAGATAGAAGGGAAAGATTTTGGGATTTCTTGTGTTAACTGCCTCGTCCTCTTGTTTTTGTCCATCCAGAGTCCAGGGCTTTTGACTGTTGCTATGGACATAGTAGGGGTTGAGGGGAGCACGAAGTCTCTATCCTCAGTTTGCTGTCTATCATGTTATAGTCCCTGGAACTCTCTGTCATACCCAGAAATGTGCCTCATGAATTTTCCAGGCATTTCTCATTCCAACCAAGTTGATATTCAATATTAACCATCACAGAGCTCATCTTCTTCTTGGAAAGACAGGAATAAAATGATTAATTAAATGAAGAACAAATATAAAAGAACTAAGATACTTTTAGAATGAAATAAAAGGGAAAGAAGTACAAAATATTGGTTGTACATCTGAATCTCCTACTGATTCCATTGCTGTCACTAAGACCATGTTTTTTTTTCCTTTGAAAACAGAAAACAATATCATTTTTCTTACCACCTTTCACATGATAATATTCTAAAGATTAAAATGATCATTTTTATGAAGATTCTTGGAATTTAGTTGCAAATATGAGATCATATAAAGAGATGCTATTGTTGTAAAACATTCAAGTGTCGGTAAAATTAGAGAAAAATAATAGGGAATTGGTTTAAGAGTTTCACTAAGCCTTGAAAATTTGTATAATTTGGCATTTTAAAACAGTTTAGTTTGTTCCTTCCTCTATAGGTTTCCATGAAAGAAAATGTTTGTTATCAAAGTCAGATGTATTCAGACATTCAAAAAGAGTGGGCTCTGGGACAGTTACTTCCTATTAGTCCACAGAGATTGATCCCAAGTCTGCTGTGGTCTCTGATGACGCTTCAGGAACATGTCCAGTTCTCATAACGCAGTTACTGTGGAAAAGACAAGAACACCAGCAGATCACCACTATATAAAAACAAAGTTAAAACATTGTGTGCAGAAAGAGTGGTAAAGGTCAACCTTTAAGATTGCAAAAGCAATAAATTCCAAGTTGGAGGTTAAAATGTAGGTGGTAGTTTTTCCCAGGGTACCAGTGTTACTATATTTATTGGCAAGGTCTTAATGCTATTCTGATAGCCACAGAACCCATGTTATTCACTAGAAATGAAAATATTAGGTTTGTAACATGAATCCTGACTTCAAATAATAGTTTATCTGTTTTGGAAGGCTTTCCCATTCATTGTCTCATTTGAAAGTTTTAGTTGCATCTTTAGAAGCATTCTCCTTAAATCAAATCAGACTTCAAGTAACTTTTATATTCACCTGGTGACTGAATAATTGCCTTTACTTATGACTATAAATAATCCTATGTTGTTCTGTGTTGGGTGAATATTGATTTTTGAATATAAAGTTCAACAATTTGAAGATGGTATATTATACAAATTTAGATCTGCTGTGAAGGTAGATATATACTATTCATATTTGCAGCATAATGTAATAGTTCTTATATAACAGCTTTGTAATTACTGACTCTCAAATCATACAAGCTGAATTCAAATAAAGTATATGACTATGTGATGCATATGCCTACCTTTCAATTGTTGCATTTTAATTATATTTTTGTTAACTTGAAGATTTTAATGCAAGACATCAGATATGGTGGTATAATAAATAAGAAAATAATGAACCTGTATGAAATAAAAACGTTAATATGAAAGCTAACTAAATTCTTTTAGCCATAGGTCATTGTTTGCAAATAGTTAAAGCATTCTTCATATGTTCAGAATTTTACATTCTTTCCCATACAATGTACTGGCAAAAGGTATTATTTGTCAACTTTAATTTTAAGATTTGGAGCCTTCTTCATAGAAACTCTACTAGAAAAGTAAAGCCACCAATGTATCTTGATAATGACTCCCTGCATTTTATCAATGATCCACAGCTTTTCAAACACAAAGAAGACAACATGTGTTTCAGCTAATATATTTATCATTGACTGAGTAGTGAATGCATAGTAAATATTATTGGATAAATAAAATTTGCCTAACTCTTTTAAGAAAACAAACATACTACAAATGATTTTAAGACCACAACATAGATATTTTAAAAGCATTTCCACAAGATCCCATGTCCAAACAATAGAGAGGAAAAGAAAGAATAATTTTCAAACCAAAGTTTTGTTATACGAGATGCAGCAGTACAGATGTAGTACTTTCCTTGTGCAATATACGCAACTCGTTTAATTTCTGGATTTCATTTAAGAATGTTGTGTGCATACAGGTCCAAATCATATCTGCCAGGCTACTTGCCCATATTTGTAAAGACAGCTAACATGCATTCGTTATTTGTGCATCAAGTACTGATTGTTCTAAGGGTTCAGCTCTATAGCACTATATGGTGCTTTATCGCATGTGAGTCATTTCCTGAAGACACACTGTCTTAATTCAGATTTGCACTTTATCATTTCACAGTAACACTAAGGACGGTCAGTAGTACTGTGGTTAACGTGTGTGCCACTAAAACAGAAAATGTGTTCTTGACACTTTAAGGATGATTTTTTTTTTCAAAGAATACATCTCTTTTAGTTTGTACTTCATTGTTTGCTAAGATTACTGACACTTAAAATCATAATAAATAGCATGATACCTTGAGAGAACCTCTTGGTCACCGGATAAAACATTAAGAATCACTTTAAATTTTTTACTGAAATTTTAAACTAGGTTGTCATTATGAATTATATAAAACCAGATTTCTTATCGTCAGGGTTGCCAAATAAAATAATAAACTGTACATTAACACATGGTTAATTTCATTATACCAGTTTTCACGTGTCCATTTAGCTCTTTTTTTTTACTGTCTTCAAGGATGTACCAATACTGATCAATATTATCATGAAAACTTTATGTTCTTACATTCCCTCTCAGCCTTAAAATTATAAAAATATATTTTTCCCCACTATTTAACCTTCTGCCCAATATTACCTCTTCTCTTAATTTCCACAGAGATATGAATATGGGGAAGAAGCTGAACCAGAAGCAGTAGTCTTGATCTGCTCAAGAAGCCTGGTGAAAGAAAAGGTTTTAGTAGAAAAGGTTTATGAATGATACATTGTTTACAATTTTACTGCAGCCTACTGTAAATATAGCTCCTGTTCACTTTGTGCGTGAAACCTGCTGGGCTCTATGATGAGCATGGTGGTAGATAAGGACTTTCAATTTTCTCTTTTTACTTCTAGAAAGCCTAAGAAATGTAAACAATGTATTATAACCATTTTAGTAATAAGGAAACAGGTTTAGTTAGGAATTTTGCAATGCTAGTAAGTGACAGATTTGGGAAACAAAAGTTAAAGTAAGCAATTTTTTTTCCAGAACATTTATCCATTAATGTTTTATTAAATACATACATTTCCATCTTGTTCACCTGTATGTATTTATGTGTCTTTATGTATGTTAAGTGCTTTTCTATACACTTATATTTATAATAACTATGCATTCACACATTCTTCCTCTCAGTGATGATAGATAGATGGTTCATGACAGACAGAGAGATAGATAGATTTAAAGATTGAGCTAATGGGATCAATAGCATGTTTATCTTATTAAAGATAAGACTTTCTCAAGTATACAACTCTGGCTATGAGGTTTCAAAGCTTAGCAACATAATCACAGAAAATGACTCTGCTTCTTGGACACATAGTTTTATAAGATTTTTGCTCTTTTTAAATTGTCTCTATTGTTGCTTCTGACAATAGTTTTTACTTCCTTTGAATTTAAATGTGAAATTGACCAGAATCATTCCATTAGTGTACTTTCTTATACTTATTTCCACAAGAAGTGACTATTTAAGAGCAGCAACACTCTCCAAACCGTGCCTTCACACATTTGCTTAACAAAGAATACACACTATTCGGTGCCTGTGGCTTCAGAACTAGAGTGACCATACCTTTGATCTTTGCTTTTGTAGTGGACATGATGGTGGCTTTATACCAACTAGTTCTATATTCCTCATTATTCACTTAGGACAAATGGTATAATTCTATCACTCCTTGCCAGAGATTTAGAAATATAACGTGTACTTATACAGGCATAAGCTGACACCTGCAGAGATGATGATGGAAAACATGATATTTCTTTTCCCTCAAATAAAGACAAGAGAGATGGGCTCACTTCTGGGGATCTGTTGTGGAGGTCTCATCAATTTTGAACAAAGGACCAAGACAACTGTCAGGAGATGTCTTGAAATCTAGAAACCATGCAAGTCATTAATGATATTACGGAACTGCTACCCCAACTCAAATGGAAAACAATATGCATTTACACTGTTAAACGAGATTTTAACTTTTAATATTTTCTCATACTTGTGTTGAAAATATGTGTGCAATTAACAACTATAAACCTGTAAGACATTGAGGATCATACATGGAGTGGTGACATTAGATTTTTAAGTGTGCTGCAAAGCAGGTTAGATGTTTATTTGAAACTGGTTGTAGTAGTAGTAGATTTTAAACTGCACCATAAACATTTAGCACCTACTTTTCCAAATACTGTTGTAGTCTGGCTTTTGTAATGAAAATATTTACATGCGGGACACATATAATTTATAGTTTTATTTTGTGATATCAACCAAAGAGTCAAATAAGACCCAAAGAATCCAGCTGAATGGCTGGCTCTCAGGGCAACAGCCTGCAGGAATCCACTGAAGACCTAGAACCCATGATGATGCCCTCCACGAGTCCATCTGGAAGCCTAGAGCCCATGACAATGTCTCATGCAAGTCTGTTTCACAGACTGGGAAGCCCAGCAGTCAGCAATGGAAGCTAGAAAGTCTGTGCCAGTGGGATGAAGGATTTGTGCTGTAGCCTGAGACTTCTACACTGGAGCCAAGAAGCCAAGCTCAAAGTAAGGACCAGAGCTCCCCAGAACAGAATCGCAGCCATCCTTAGCAACAAGGAGGTCCAGAGTTCTTCTAACCATGAGAACAGCCAAGTTCCAATCAGGAAGTCAGTGTGACAAGCTTCTCCTGGAAGTTGAACGGCACATTATCTTCCCCTCCAGAGCCAGGAAGCCAGCTATAAAGTAAGGGCTAGTGCTCCCCCAAAGTGAATTGCAGTCATTCTCAGGAACAGCAAGGTCTCAAACTCCTCTGAGGATGAGAACAGCCAAGTTCATATCAGGAAAGAAGTTCGACAGGCTCCTCCAGGAGAACCCACAGCAAGCAGACATCCAACAACACCTCTTCTTCTCCAGTTCTCTTTTTTATGTTGGCAACAATCCTCAGATCGGCCTTCTCCAGTCAGCATCATACTGATTCGGTTCAGTATTACAAACTGACCACCAGTTGTTAATCCACCACAAACAACATGCTGAATTTTAAGTAGCAATAATTTAAACCAAGTGCTGGCTTTCTGGTGAGGGAGGCAGAAATTTTCTTGAGACAAGTGTTGTGAGATTCACAGTAAAGATGCTTAATCTTGCCCACAGTGCTTAAGGAAGGTAGGGAGTACTTTCAATGTTACAAGTTAATGTACTAAAATGATGTGGCGTTTCAGATAACACTAAAAACAATCCATCCTGATCAATCTGAAAAAAATCACAGAGGCTGAAAATTGTGAGAAAATTGAAAATGAAACACTGGCAGGGATCAGAGGAAGCACTAAAAATTGAATCCTGGAAAGCTTAGTTTGAAGTTTCTATTTCAACTATATGAAGGAATCATCAATCATGGGTGAGTTTTCAAGTTGCTAGACAAGTGATATGAATATATTTATATCTTAGAGAAAATCTCTATTAGTTCCTCATTTACAGATCGGAGGTAGACAATTTTAAAGAACTCTTTATCAGTTCAAAGGTTTGCTAAAAAGTTATTGAGGAAAATGATTAAGTGACCTGAACTGAGATTAGAGCATAAGGAAGAGGAAAATGATGAATTTGAGTAGCAGAATCAAAAGACTTAAGAACCTGAGTGTATAGGCCTGAGTCATAGGAAAATCTTTCCTGTCTCTTGCACAATAAAATGAGCTTCATGGAAATGGATGAACTAACTGCACAAAGGAAAAATTGCACTGTGGCTTGTTTTTATTTTTATTTTTTTATTGTTTTAGAAAAGAGTTAAGAATAGCTTTTATTTTTTAAAGCCATTAACATTTATAAGCAAGTGAGATGAAATAAGGATAATACATATAAGTAAAATACCTTCTGACAAGGAAACAATATGAGTTAAAAGAAAAGAATAAAAGATCATATTTCTTGAAGATAAGAGAAGCCAACAGTGTCGAGTGCAGCCCCAGTTCACATGTGGGAAAATAAAAAAAATATAGAACAGAATGAGAAATGCTCACTGGGTTTAGTGGGAATATAAACGAGGTCATTGCTGAGCTTGGGAGCAGCAGTTTCAGTCTGGTAGTGTGGGAAGCATACCAATTAGAATGAGTTTAGGAATGAATTAGAGGTAAATTAAGGGAGACAAAACTCAAGCAACTAATGTGAAGGAAGAAAGAAAGGCCATTAAGTAGAAGGGACAAGTCGTGTTGGCCAAGAACTCTGCACTGATGTACGAGTCGTCAAGAATTGTGAACATGCACCCAAGAGCTATCAATGCGGACTAGGGCCTATGCTGGGTCCACTGTTTGCCAGACACACATGGGTGCCTGTTTTGCATTTAGAATGATACTCAAGCCACAAAGGCGGGCTGACTCAGCACACTGCTTGACAGAGTTTCTCTCAAGTGTGCATACAAATGTGGAGTTAGGCATCCTGTAATTCTTCAGTAAACACCCACATGACACAGTTAAAGGGCTGAGCGCGTTAATCTTAGAGTCCATATCATTTTGTGAAATTCAACTCAATTTCTTAGTTTTCTTGGCTATAATTCCTTCCCCCAATGTTCTTCTTATAACAATAAAAGATATTATATTGCATTCTATTTGAACTAACTTAACTTAAAAAATTATTTTCATATGTTCCTTAGAATTACCCTTTAGAAAAATGTGCAATATTTTAAATGAGTAACTAAACCAAATTTCTGTTCAAAGTAATCACTCTATAATGAATAGGAAATCTTTATCTTTGCCTACTTTCATACTTTATTATTATTTATATTTCAGAGAAAATACTTTTGCTACTGTATGTCATTGTTTACTGTCAAGTCAGGGTAATGTCCAGTTTAAGATAATATGCAATTAACCAATTACTAATTTATAGCATAAATTTGTATGTATTAGAAAACAATCTTTCCAAGTCATTGCAGAATGAAAAGAAATTGTTAATCTCTTCAAATCATTTTGATAGTAATCCTAGAAAGTAACTTATGTGTACTTACTCGAGTTTTATTACACAGAGATTTTTTTTTTTTTTTTTTTTTTTTTTTTTTGGACTGAGGATCACATTCATGACTTACACTTGTTGTGCAGGTGCTTGTGCCACTGAGGTATATCCCCAGTCCTTCACAAAGAAAATCTGACAAACAATTAACCTCAAAAGGGAAGTCAGTTCTTACCTTGAATTAATAATTATGAACATTTTTGCACACTAATACATTTTCAGAATGGGAATCCCTAATCGAATGAAAAAGGAAATCACAAAGTTACAAAAGTGCATTCTCCTGCTTTTTCTGTTATCAAGGATGCTTAATTCAACCTTTTCTCCAGTCATAGCACAGGAGAATTGTTCTGGAATTCACCAACAATCCTGAAGATGAAGGTGTTACAATTGTGAAAATTGCATCCCTGATGTAGATTAGCTCTTCCCTGCTTAAACTCAGCACTATCAAAGACTGCCCCTGGGGAATCCTTGTAATAAACATCTGAAGGAGAATCTAATGTGCCATTAACATCAAAGTGTCTCCCAGACTACAGCACTGGCTTTGCCTTAAACATGTTAAGTACTAACCACTGGGCTTCTCTCCAGAGGCTTAGTTGCTTAGTTAATCATCAAACCTTTATCATCAAAACCTAACTCTTTGAAAACAGGCTTGCGTTATAAGCAGCTTATTGTTCCTGCAAAAATGTCAGCTTCTTTTCTAAAACATGTTTAGCTCGTGTTGAACACCAGAGTCATCAGTCTTGCAA